TTTTTCTCTCCATGCATTGGACAAGGAAGCGAGGTGCCTAACCCAGGGTTGTGGATTCCAATCATTTTCACGAGGCCTAAAAGTTAGGTATTGCAATGCTCAGTGTTGCAATACTTAAGTCCCTTCTTTGATTTAGTCCTTGTCCTCTCAAGTTTTTATACGTCACTCTCTACAATTGGAGTCCCTTGTTTTATTCTGTGCTTGCTGGAATCGCAGATGGGAATTGCTGTTCCCATGTGGATAAATATTTAAGATTAATCAATAAGAAGCCCGGTGGCACTTTAAAGACCATTTATTTGTACCTCTGGGACCCCTTGCTCCATTTATCTGAAGAAGTGGTTGTGCTCACAAAAGCTCATGATACCATCTACATGTTTTGTTAGTCTCTAAGGTGTTGCAGGAGCATTTGTTGGTTTGTAAATATTAGAGCATAAGCTTTCGTGAGCTACAACTCACTTCTTCAGATGATGAAAAAAAAGAAGATTGACGAATCTTCACAAATATTCATGAGTTATTTGCTGTTATGACCTCATCTGGGTTGCCCAACCAGAGCAAGAAGATTATATCTTATGAACAGGATGCTGAAAGGGGCACAGCAGGGAAAATAAGGCTTACATGAAAAATCTGACTTTGTATATCATGTGTAAATCAAAAGTTTCAGAGGACCCTTCTCAATTTGTCTCCTAACTGCCTGATTGTGCACCATGCTGAGCACGCATGTCCTAGGGAAGCCAGTGTGAATGAGGATAGAAATGTAGCCATGTTAGTCTGGTGTAGCTGAAAAAAAAACAGGACTGTTTAGCACTTTAAAGACTAACAAGATGGTTTAATAGGTGATGAGCTTTCGTGGGCCAGACCCACTTCCTCAGATCAAATAGTGGAAGAAAATTGTCACAACCATATATACCAAAGGATACGATTAAAAAAAAAGAACACATATGGGAAATTCAGGACCATGCAGGAGGCACACAGCACATGGTAGGTTTGGACCCTAATTCTGCATTTGAAAATATGTATTTACATATGCAGAATGAGTAACTATGAACAAGTGTTTGTCTGTTTGCACAGATTTGCAGGCACAATTAAAAAGGCTTCTCTGGAAATAAGATTCCAGTTGTCAAATTGAATGCTGTAGGAAAGTCTGCAAAGATCTTTTATCCATCTATAGGGTTAAATTAGTACTCTAAATCTTTCATGACCTTTGGGCAGTGCATTAATCGGACATTAGTTTTGTCAGCTTGTATTCCTCTTCCTCTCCTAAGAAAACAGATGTATTTTGCTGGAGTGCTTACATACCCTTAAACTGAGTTATGTAACTAAGCAGTGTAGTAACACCTCATTGCCACTAGTTGGCACCTATGTGTCAATTTTTTCATGCAAAGGAAATTTTTCTTATATAATATACTGGAAGGTTTACCTGGCATTGCTGAGCTCCTTCAGGGCAGGGGTTTGGGAGTGTCAGGGTTATAGGAATCCGGGTTGGGTGATGAATAGGGGCTTAGGGCAGGGGCTGGAGGTGCAGAAGTCAGGTCAGGGGATTGGGAAGTGTGTGAGGAGGACTCAAAGGAGGCTATAGAGGGTTCAGGGTAGGGGGTGGGGGCAACTAGCAGCTGTTCCCTGGGGTCGGCCCAGGGCAGTTGTGCCTGTACCACCTTGCCACCAACTGCTCCATGGCTCTCCGAGTGGCAGGGGGCTCTCCGCTGCCCATCTGACATCTGCTCCGTGGCTCTCTGGGGCTGTTGAGGAAGCAGGGAATGCGCTTGCTTGCTGCCTCCCTTTGGTCATTCTGGTGTATAACCACCCCTGCTATGACAGCCCTGCCATTCCATTTCATGAGAAATAATTGCATTCCACACACATCCCATTCTCTTGGCACAACCGAACTCTTACCTGGCTTTAGTTACGCTAAGAGGAAGCTGCATACCAAATTAGGTGGCCCTAGCTCTTACCATTTAGTAGGAGTTCTTGAACAAACAGACTCATGGATGAACCAACAGACAGACTCTCAAACTCTCTCAAATACATAGTAGAACTAGATGGGAATGGTCATATCTGTCATAGTGTGCATACCTGAAGCCTTGAGTAGTTTTGACAATCTCTGTGAAGGGCAGAGACAAGAAACACTGAAATTGTTTCACCTGGCTTTAATAATAATAATAATAATTAATAATAATGGTGCACTTAATGTAGTGCTTTTCACATGTGACAGTGGTGAGAATGTTAGAAGAGTTGAGATTAGATTATAAGAAGAGTGAAAGGTTATTATGAGGAAGAAAGAGCATGGGTTGGTGTGAAAGGAGAGAGCAGAAAACAGAAAATATAGCTCACATTCGTTCAGAACCACATTTGAAAAGAGATCAGAGATCAGATGTGGCATTAGCAAATGATCTAAAGGTAGACAGTCACCCTGTACCATCACTGTCTCCTTTTGTTTTCATGTTTTATATCTCTTCTGACAAAGAGATAGATTCATGGTTTTTGTACAGCACCAGGATTCAGCAGTTTGGGGTTTTCTCCTAGCTCTACTACTGCTTGGCATGGCCTTGAATAAGTCATGTAACCTCTGTGCCTCAGTTTCCCATCTGTAACACATGAAAATGCTCTCTTCATTCCAGTATTAGGTTGTTCTGATTACATGCTCAGGATAGTACCAGGCACTGTACAAATGGAAAAAGAGGTCCAGTCCTTGCCCCAAAAAGCTTACTTTGAGAAGGCCACATAAAATCCTCTTGGACCATCTGTTGGAAGATTGTTTTATGGGTGTGATCCTGTTCTCATTGAAGTTATAAGATTTTCATCATGTAGAATTGGACCTTTAAATGTGACAAGCCAGTCAGTCAAACATTCAGAAGCAATTTTGCACTAACCAGTGTGCATGTGTCTAAATCTGTGAGACATAGTGAGGGCTGTAGGAAATAGCTTTTAGATCCAAAATGTAGGGTTTGTTTTTTTATTGGTTTTTTTGTTTTGTTGTGTTTTCTTAAAAACAAAAAAAAATAATACTATGAGTGAGGAAATAAAAATCTGATTTCAGATCTCTTGACAGTGTCATTTAAACAGTGACTCACTCACTTTTAACCACCTGTTTGTGTCGCTAGCACAACGGTAAGTGATATTTTTAGCTACCATATTTTACTAACACGTGTAACTTCTTTTTATACTGAACACTCAGACAGTGATGGGGGAGGGGCGTAAACAAGAAATCTGGAGATGCTTTAAACACTGATGATCTTATTTTATGATCTATAGAAAAGCTTTGCCATTTACTGTGAAACAGACTACCTGCCCGTTTTCTCCTTCCCTCCCCCATGACTTCTCTAGGTAAGGGGCTGTACATTCCCTGCCTGCATTAGAAGCAACTTAATAAACAGGAGGTGAGATCTAAGCCCTGCTCAATGCAAATCCAGGAGTTCACGGACTGTCAGGGAAAGTGATAGAGATGTAGCCGTGTTAGTCTGGGGTAGCTGAAGCAAAATGCAGGACTATGTAGCACTTCAAAGACTAACAAGATGGTTTATTAGGTGATGAGCTTTCGTGGGCCAGACCCACTTCCTCAGATCAAATAGTGGAAGAAAGTAGTCACAACAGTATATACCAAAGGATACAATTAAACAAATGAACAAATATGAAAAGGCAGCGAGCCCTGGAGGTGAGAACCTAGGTACCGCACCAGAGCCGGCCAGCAGCAGTTTTGGGTGAGAGTGGAGAAGGGGCACCCCCTCCCCTCTCCTCCCATCCCCCCTCCAGCCAATCCCCATTGTCCTTGCCTCTCCTCCTCAGGCAGGATGCTGCCCAATCAGGCGGTGCTCTTGCACTGCTCCCTTCCTCCGAGGGGAGGGGAGGAGGAGAGAGCTGGAGTCCTCACTCGGGGACCGCTTAGGGGCAGCGGCTCTGTGCCTCGCGCTCTGGGTTGTTGCTGCTGGTGCTGACCTGAGAGCCTGCGGCTCAAA